TATATATATATATATATATATATATATATATATATATATATATATATATATATATATATATATATATATATATATATCAACAATAATGATAAATTTAGAGATGTAAATGACATTAACCAGATGTGTTTGGATTGTTTCTCTTACTTTTTAGACATTATAATACAATACAATACACAGAATTCATTATTTTTATTTGATCAATCAGACTGAATTTGTAAACATGGTTCATGAAATAATTCTAAATGCATTACACATGTATATAGCAGTTTGTACACAAAACAGTATCTTATTGTAGTGATATTTTTGCATACATTCTATAAGAGTTCACCACTAGTTTACACCAAAGTCAGCTTCACTCCTGCATGAAACCCAACTTTGAGCTCAAGTTTGACACCTGGGTTTGTCTGGAGGAAACTTCTTGGCAAGCGAGCCAAGAAGTGGGAAGACATCATTCTTGGCTGCTTTTACTCTCCACCCCTAGTCAACCTCCCTAATTAGAGATGGTTTCGTTCCTCTATAGCGGTGCTTTTAAGATAAAGTGATGTTCGGGGCGTTCTGAGGACCCTGTGGACTCTCCTTCAGTCCTCTTTTCTCTCCCCTATTGATTTCTTCTTTCTGTTTCTCAGATTAACTCTCTTCAGTTCTCGTTCTGCCTGAATCACTGGGAGGAACGGGGAACGCTAGTTTGTTTTTTAAGTGAACACTCCGGGGAAGCTGCTTTCAGTGCAATCAAGCCATAAAGGAAAAAGCCACAGGAAATGAAATCCATACTGTATCCTGTTTTTAAATCCATCTCATTCCTGCATCGCTCTGCCAGGCGATGCTTGGCGATCCTGTAAAAGAACTGATGCTAAAATTTCCTGAAAGGAAGAGTCTTCTCAACATCGTGTCTCTTGTGTTTTTTTCCAGTCATGAGCGGTTCTCTGTGATTGGCGGAGGAAGCCTGCAGATCGTCAACCTGACCGAAGAGGATGCTGGGATATACGTCTGCCAGGCTGACAGCGGTAATATGACCAGCGAGATCCAGGCCGAGCTCACTGTGCATGGTACGTTTCAGTATAAAATACAGAATATTTTACTGTTTTTTTTTTTGTGTTGTAGGTCATTTTTAAATCATTTTTAACACGTCTTAATTTTCCACTGTCTGTGTAAATGTTTATCAATTGGTTAATCGACCAATCACCAACCCTTCATTCATTCATTTTCTTGCCGGCTTAGTCCCTTTATTAATCCGGGGTTGCCACAACGGAATGAACCGCCAACTTATCCAGCACATTTTTACGCAGAGGATGCCCTTCCAGCCGCAACCCATCTCTGGGAAACATCCACACACACTCATTCACTATGGACAATTTTAGCCTACCCAATTCACCTGTACCGCATGTCTTTGGACTGTGAGGGAAAGCGGAGCACCCGGAGGAAACCCACGCGAACGCAGGGAGAACATGCAAACTCCACACAGAAACGGCAACTGAGCCGAGACTCGAACCAGTGACCCAGTGACCTTCTTGCCGTGAGGCGACAGCACTACCTACTGCGCCACTGCGTTGCCCAATCAACAAAAGGGAAATATTTACACAGCGGATGCCCTTCCAGCTGCAACCCATATAAACTCTAACCTAGCAAACATTACACCTCATGACCAATCAGCTGTCTGCCTTGTTTACTGTTGGTTGCTAGGTAACCAATCCCGCAGTCGACTGCTCTAACAACTTTCAAAAGACTCGTTTCATGTTTTATACGCAACCCGGCTTCAGTTCAGCACCAGCAGACTAAACAGGCCCATATGTAATTAATAGCAGCCCTGTTTAGTGCACATACGTCTAGACAACGTTTCCTCTGCGGAGGAGGAACTTCAAAGCGTTGTTTTGTTTTTATTTATTTATGTGCATCTCTGGGCTGATCATGACTTTTATGTTTTGTGGGAGGCTTTTCCTTTGCTTTAGATATGATTTCAAATAAAGACTTATAGAAATCATTTTTTATTTCTTTGATTAATCGTGACCAACCACATTTCTGAAGCGTGATATAGCGGAGTAAATAACGCCACAATAATTGCCAAGCAGCACAATTATGATTCATGCAAAAAGTGCTTCACAAAACACAAAGGAAATTACTGCAAAGTGGCCTCACAAAAAAAACTACTTCAGAAATCCTCTGTTCTGACATAATTGCAGCACTGAATCAAACATGCTGATTTGCATATAATGGTTTTCTCATGGTTTATGAATGAGGCTTCCTGGTCAGAATGTCTATCTTCTATTTCCAGACGTTGAAGCGCGGATAATTGCTTTCACATCTATGCATTTGGCATACTTTACCTTGCATTCATATACATCTAATCATACTTTGCATAAAAGCATTGCATTTAAGGTGCAATGAATGTGTACATGTGCAGCAATAACGCTATTATTTCCACTAATCAGAGGGAAGGATTTCATTTACAGCAGTTCTATTTCCATGCAGTGGTTATTTTTGTACCTCTAGTGCATCACTAATAAAAGCATCAAGAGTAGGCATTACTGGCCACTGTATTAATCTACATGCATAAGATGTGAAACATTTCTATAAACATCACGAATGTTACTCAAGTCACGCTTTATTGAAATGTATACTCTATTGAAAACTCCAATTAAGTTTGATGTAATTTTCTCTAAACGAATAACTAAAGGTGCAGTGGGGTTAATTGCTTGTTCTTATATAGTGGATACTTTATAAACTGTTTCCTGGCAAGCTAATTAAACAAAGTTGAACAATCCCGATGTTTCCATTCACCTATTTTTATGCACATTTTGATTATCACATAATGGAAACTACAATATTCGCATACATTTTGAAAAATGTGGATAAACACACGTGCACAACTGAGTCGCATAAATGTTTTATCTAATTAGAAAAAAAAGGTGCGTAAAGTACGATGGGAACAGATTTACTAAATTAATTCCAGCATGCGCATCGGTAAAGAGATGTGGTTTAGTTTGAACAGATGATGTGATGGATATTAATGGACAAAGCAGCGTTTACAGCTATGCCCGGGCCAATAAAATGATATCCGTATTTATTGACCAAATTACGATAAAAAAAAAAAAGTTAAATAAAAAAATTAAATAAAAAAATTTTTGGTATGTAGTTTCGATATGAAGGCTTTAGTTTTATTAAAACGTGTCTTCTCTTTATAAATATTGGGATATTTCCAATCGAGGCACATGGCTTGTGCGCGCAAATAGTGGTGCGCCCTTGCAGTTGGATCTAAACTTTCCAGAATGCACCCTGATTCATACAAGCTATGATAGATTTTTAAATATATGTAGCATTTACATATGACATATTTAATTCCTCCACGTACCCACTAGAAGGAAGCACTAGTGGTACATGTACCACAGTTTGAGAACCACTTGCCTTGCACAAACATCTGAAATTGCTCGTTTCTAAAACCCCTCGGCCATCAGTGTGTCATTACAGTGGTTCAGTGTTATTATTATTCTAGTATTATTCCCTCCAGAACTGTCTTGAGCATCTGTGTGCGCTCCCAAAGAGCGTCTCACGACTCTTAAAACCCGTGCCTTGCTTTTATTGTGGTTCATTTTTGTTTTGAGGCGCAACTCATTTATTAAGAAAAAAAGACCGCTGTGACTTCTCCTACCACACAAAATGGCATTTTTCTGTCTGATATTTGGCGTCATTTAGCAGGAAGTCTTTGAGCTCTATTTTGACGGTCCATGCGCAAAAGCGCAGGGCGCAAACGCTTTCAGGGCGTGTCAGAACGCATTTTTGCTAATTAAAGGACGGGAAAATCCACTTTGCGCCGTGGCGCATGGTCTAAAAGGGTTGAGTTTATTTTCTTAATGAGTTATAGGTGTGTTTTGAGAATAAACCAATCAGAGTCTCATCTCCCATTCCCTTTAAGAGCCAGCTGCATCGCGCCATAAGCACATTTGCTATTAACATGACGTAAAGTAAGTTCACTTTCACTTTTGCTCTCATGGATAGGGAAACCTTCCCGCACAGACATCAATCAGCCTATAAATAATTAATTTGGTTTGTTAAGCGCAAAGATTTGTTTCAAAACTATTTCTAAATTCAGTTCTAATTTCCAGCAAACGAATAAATGAACAATAATAACAAAGTGTGGTCAAAATACTGAGCTATTTCCAAATACACCTGCCATGCCCCATACGGTCTTAAACCTGACGGGGACAAATCTAAGCTTGTTTTTAATAAAACAAATATAAATATGGATATAATAAATAATACTGCTAATAATAATAACATTATACAAAAGCAAATTGAATGAACTGAAAAAGCCTCCGGAGATGAAGAAAGTATGACGGCAGTGGTTTTTAAATCTTCATGTAGGCTAGAAATTAATGTGTTTTGTAATATTTCAATAATTTATATTTATATCCTATATATATCCTTATTATATCTATCCTTAATATATTATATCTTTTTCATATGTAAAGATATTTGCGTATTATATCTTGTGTGTAGTGTGTAAGCCAGGCGCACTTTGCGCCAGACAATAGACCGACTTTGTTGTGGTCTAAAGATCAGACTATTTACAGTTTCTCAGAATAGCAACGCGCCAAAACACGCCTGCTTTTGTAGAGCAGAACGCCTATGGGCGCACATTTGAGCGCAAATGAATTTGCTATTTAAACAGCGTGGCGCAACACCTCAAAATGACCCTTGCGCCGAGCTGAAAGTAGTAAAAGACTATTGCGCTGCGCCTTGCGCCACATTGCGCCGGGTGTATGATAGGGCCCTTTGACTCATTGGATGAAGCCGCTACTTTATTTGCAAATGTTTCATGTGATATTTCAGTTTCGCACTTAAATCTAATTCACATCTTTGGATGGAATCGCAGCTATGGAGATTAAAGCTTGTCAGTATTTTGTATGCGCGGTCTGCATTACATCTGGTGAAACTGTCTAAAGCTGAAACTACCTTTGATCTGACTCTTGAACTTGAGCCATATCGTAATTGCGTTTTGTAATTAGGGTTATTATTTGTGCACAGATGCTAGCAGTGCTTTAAATCCAGTATAACATGAGTTTGATAAAGCAGGCAGCAGTGGATTGTGTGTGTGTGTGTTCATGATCTCTTCACCTCAGATATGAGCTGTTATTTTCACTCCCTCCTGCTGATCTGAGCTGAAATAGACGCTCTCGGGCCATCCACACACACACACTCTCACATTCTGATGTTTGTATTTTTTTTTCCATTAGCTTCTTTCACCTCTTTTACAGGTGCTGACGCACTTATGTTGCCGAGCTCAGGAAGTCGAGACTCTCATGGGAAGTCAGGAAATCTGATTTGGGTTCTGATGGGTAAAAATAAACCCCTTTATGTCAGACAGTAACACAAACACACATTGGGTGGTGGGCGTTTAGGTGTGTAAAGTTGCATGCTTTGATAAACACTCATGCAGGTGTGTGTGTCTGAACATTTTCATGCTTCCTAAAAGTCTGTAAAAGCACATAAACAACCTAACGTAGCAGTCTCTGGCTGTGCATCATGCACACACACTTGAAGATAGAGATTTTTCTAATATTGTTTAAACCATGTGCTGTTTAACAGAGAGAAGACTTTTAATATTTTTAATCGCATAGCATTTTGCATAGCTCATTTCTAATAACTCATTTATTTAGTCTGTGCCACACATGCACTGTAGGTCAATTGAATTAATTAAATTGTCTGTAGCGTATGAGTGTGTAAGTGTGTATGGGTGGTTCCCAGTATTGGGTTGCTGCTGAAAGGGCATCCGCTGCTCGAAATATATGATGGAATAGTTGGCGGTTCATTCTGCTGTTGCGACCTCTGATGAATAAAGGACTATCCCGAAGAAGTTCAATGAATGAATGAATGAATTATTGTTATTTTATTAGTAATAATATTAATATTAATAATAATAATAATGTTTCATGAGATTTTACACTTTATATGTTAAATTATCAGTGTTAAGGATGGTCATTAGTTGTGCTGCCTGCTTGTTTTTGCAAATTCTGTACTATAAAATTGGTCTTAAACTTTGGTTCTGTGTGTGTCTTAAAATGTCTTAAATATAACTCTTAGGCCCCGTTTACACTAATGTGTTTTAGTTTGAAAACGCATAAGTTTTGCTACGGTTACGCCATCCGTCCACACTACGCCCGAGTTTTCAAACGCGCCGAATACGGAGCATTTCGGAAACCCTGAAGAGGCCGTTTTCATTCTAAAACGCTGCTGCTTCATCTCAGTGTGGATGGGGGAAAACGGAAACATCTGAAAACGGCGGAGCTGCAGACATTCACCTCTCTGATTGGGGCTTTTCCTCAATATTAAGTAGCCCACACACAGTTAGAGTTCTGCATCCTCTCCTTGTAAATTCAGACTTTGCAAGTTTGATATGGATAACAAACACGTCGGCTTAATCTTCAAAGGGAACAGTGTACTGTATAACCTTATCAGCGGGATCGGGCGCGGCGGCCAGAAAACGGGGCGGGTCAGGCAGCGGGACAATAAATTCTTAATATAAGCGGGAGCGGTAGGGTTCGGACTTAAATCTGGCGGGTGCGAGCGGGAGCGGGATTCAAAATGTAGTCCTGCGCAGATCTCTACAGAGATGTATGGATGCACTCCTCCAAGCTCATGATGGAGTCAGACACAATATTCATTCTGTCTCCACTGCAGCAGGACTTTATATTCTATACTGGACATTATTTCTGTTCAGTGACGAAACTTTTGTATGAGCAAAGTCAGAGCTTACTGTCCTGACTAAATTATTAATAATCAAGGCAGGGTCATATATCATTGTGCTCAAATAAGTGATACCAAATGATCAACTAGAAGTCAAGTTATTACTTGTTGTTCCTAAAACTTGGATAGGCGACAAGACTTGTCAGGTAGTGTGTTTTTTCCTTTATCTATGTTTTATTTACATATGTTTAGGGGGCTTTCACGTAGTCTGTATGACTATGTACCTACATCAGGTACACTGGCTACCCGCCAACCCTGTTCCTGGAGATCTACCTTCCCGCAGATTTCAAACACACCTGCCTGTAATTATCACGTGGTGTTCAGGTCCTAATTAATTGGTTCAGGTGTGTTTGATTTGGATAGCAACTGAAATCTGCAGGAAGGTGGCTCTCCAGGAACAGGGTTGCCCACCCCTGACCTACATTTTATCAGCAAAGATCACAGCCTCAACTAAAAATGGACATCATATTTTAATTTTAATGTAAACCATACATTTATAATCACTAATACTGGATTTGGGCATGTTTTAAATACAGTTCATTGCCGTTTTTTTAACTATTCTAGCTTAATGTGTTTCTGTTCATCCTATTATTGTGATAATCGCCAGTTTCCTCGCAGATCTTAACTTGTATGGAGACAAACTCTCTCGCTTGATATTTTTAGCTCTCTTTCATGCTTGCCTGTGCTATTTTCATTGAAGTGATTAATTTATGCCATACTTTCAATGCCAATGCATGTTTTTTTATCCTCTACTAAGAGACGTTTCTCGCGTTTGAGTCATTATCCGTGTGTCTTTCGCAAGCTCTTGGCTGTGACTTTGGAGGAATAAATAACGCGCTGCTGTTTTTTCAAGAGCTCTTCTGAGAGATGAGAGTTATGGAGTGACCGACTCTTCCTACAGTATCTCTGCTGTGAAAGGCAGCGCTGGGTTATTAAACACTGGCGTTTTAATCTCTTAATATCAGCATGTGAAGTGACTCATAACTCTTGTGGCGTGGTTATTTTAGAAGCCGCTGTTCACATGCTGAGATTTCCCCCGGATTCCCTCTCAGATTAGCAGGATTTTTAAAGAGCTGTGTAAAACGCTGTTAATGCTGCCTTTAAAAGTTACTCGTAAAGCCAAATGTGCTGGAATATGATGTGTTTTGGCTATCTGTAATCGTATTACTCTCACTCCACGTGCTGCAGATTTATACATATTACACCCAGGGGCTGTTGAATGCTTGATTCTGATTGGCTGAGGGGCATTCTAAGCATACCTGTCAACCCTCGCATTTTTCTCCCGTATTTTACCATTTTATTCCACTATCATCCCTTTCAAGTGTTTACCTGTTTTCCCTCTTGTATTTTATCATTCTATCCTGCTATCATCCCATCTAAGTACAGTTGAAATCAGATGTCTGATGGTAATCAGACTAAACGTTTACTACTTCAGGTCTTTTAGGATTACCTAAATGATTTAAATTTGCTAAATGGCAGAATAATGAGAGATTTTTATTTATTTATTTCTAGACAGTCAATAGTTTACACACATTTCCTTGGTATTTTTTTAGCTTTGTTTTTAAACTGTATAACTTTGGTCAAATGTTTTGGGTCTCCTTCCACAAGCACAATAGTTTGCAGGAATTTTGGCCCATTCCTCCTGACAGAATTGGTGTAACTGAGTCAGTCTTGTTCGCACAAGCTTTTTCAACTCTGCCCACAAATTTTTAATAGAATTGAGATCAGGGCTTTGTGATGGCCACTCTCTTGGAGTAGCATTTTACTTGTCTGCTGAATGCTTGCCAGGGTTCAACGTTAAGGATTATTTCTACTGTCTCGATTGGACCAGTGGTTCAGATTTTTACTAGCCCTGCCAAAGTTTTCACTTATTATATATTATGTAGGGATGTGCGATATGGACTTAAAATATATCAGGGTATTTTCTGGTATTTATTGTGATAACGATATTAGTGGTGATATAAGTCAAAAGTATCCAGAGAGAGGCAAAAAGTCTTCAGGAAAAAAATAGTCATTCATTTATGTTTATATATATAAATATATATATATATATATATATATATATATAATTAAAAAAAATTGGTTACCTCTTCAAGCTTTTCATGATCGTTTAAAATTATATCATTATTATATTGTTATGAAGTAAATTTAAAGTAAAATATGTCAGTAAATATTAGTGTGTATATCAGTGTTTCTCAACCACGTTCCTGCAGGAGCACCAGCTCTGCACATTGTCTTCTTAACCAAACACCTGATTCAGATCATCAGCTCATTAGCAGAGACTGAAACACCTGTAATGGGTGTGACAGACAAAGGAGACATCCAAAACATGCAGTGCTGGTGGTCCTCTAGAAACGTGGTGGAGAAACACTGCTGTATATGTAAGTATATCAAAAATGAAAGTGTAAATTCATATCTAATGTTTCTAAAATACATTTATTTATTTATTTGGTATCATCTCTTACTGAAATATGAAGTTATTAAAGTTATTATTACGTAATACATATGTTTATCTATATCGGTCTTAACATGAAATAACCGAAAGTTGCTGAAGTACCAATAAATAAACAGTAACAGACGCATAAATAGATGTCTGTACTACACATGTGCTACTGTAATTAGGTATTCAAAGACTGATTGTAGGTCATAAGTCAAATTTTTATTATGTGCAGGATTTTTACAGGTATATTCCAAATGATGAGATATAACCCATCCCTACTTGACACACTTTTGTCAGTCATCAATAATAAAACTAGCAAAACCGCAGGTATTTTTAGCATCTCTATATTCTCGTTCTTCATCTGCTCTTCCCAGATTGCACAAGTAATAAACATCAGCTCGGTCCATGATGGATGCGGTTGCCATAGGAACAGAGAGGAGAAGCACTTTACCTGCCTGTACCTGTCCCAGCACATGTTGTTGTTTTCTTCGTCTTGTAAACCCTGTGACCTCTTCTCAAGTTTCTTCTTGTTGTTGTTTGTCTTGCAGTTCCTCCACGCTTCCTGACCAGGCCTTCAAACACGTACGCGCAGGAGTCCATGGACATCATCTTCGAGTGTGACGTCACCGGCTCTCCACCTCCGACTGTCAAGTGGATGAAGGATGGAGACACGGTCATTCCTAGTGATTATTTCAGGATAGTGGTACGTCTGTGCTCCTCACTGCTTCATATGAGATTTAAACATGCATAAGACTGAGGCTGCTTTCACACCTGTGAATCGATTCAGTTGTTCTGAAACAGAGATTACAAATGTTACATTGTTGCTCTTTGCTCTTGGAGCGGTTCGCTTTCACACTGCAAAGTTTCTAATCGGACCAAAAGCAAGTCACGTGCGAGTAAACTCTCCTCACATTGGTCAGAGTGTCAGGGTTTATTTTGCAGCGTCCCGCTCAGCTGTCAGGAGAGGTGGTGGTTTGGTGGTGATTGACAGGGTGCGCGCGCGTGACATGTCTGAGGAGAGATGCGGTGGGGTGGGGTGAGAAGGGTGCGCGACCATGCCTATTTGAGGACCGGGAGGGAGACGCAAGATTACCGGGAGATCATCACTCATTTGCGGGCATCCGGAGACTCGCGAAACTTCCCGCCATACTCATAATTCTCTCTTCATGTAGCCGTAAGCCTATTACATATCCATAAAACACTGTGATATAACCGCGCTCCGGATCGCATCGCTTTCTCACTGCAATCGAACCGCTCCAGGGTTCATTTCAATCGAGCCGAGACCACCTCATTCAAGCGATCTCGGAGCGATTACTTTGGCGCGGAACAGAGCGCGATTGCCCTGTTCACATATGCCAAACCAACCGCGCTAACTGGGCAAACGAGACACGTTCCGAAACAAAAGTGTAGGTGTGAAAGCACCCTAATTCCTCTGTTTGCTTTTATCTAGATCACACACTTTTCATTAATAGGGCTTGAATCGTTTGGTAAAAATAGTAAAAAGTCTTTGTTTTTTTTTACAACAAATGGGTCAGTGAAGCTCAAAATATCAAGATTTACATTTTTAATTTGTAAAACAAAATGTATTTACATCCCCAGCAGTTTTCATCATGAATATATGTTAAGTTCTATGTTATAAATATAGATTTATTTATTCTGTTAGCAACACGTTTGACCATGAATGCAGTTTTAATTTTAATAATTTTTAATAATTTTTATATTTATTTTTAGTTGTTTAATATTATAATATTAGTGTTCATTTCTGGTTTAATATTTTCATGATGAGATTTTGTTAAAGACATTTTAACTTTGCAATTGACATTTATTATTAAAGATCTTCAAACTTTTCATGATGATGTAAAATTATATCAACTGATGCTATTGACCTTAGTCTAAAATGCGGAAGTGCGGCTGTTTTCGCGATTGTCTTAGAACTTCCGATTCAGGCGCCTATAGGAGAAATGACTAGGAATAATAAACGGCAGAAAACGTTTAAACTACTCGCTCTACAATCAAATGTTTGCATGACTATACAGACCAAGTAGAATAATATAATAAGAAAATATCAAATTGCAACATCAAGCAGCGTAATGAGCAGTTTTTAACGTCAAAAAATGAATGGAAGTGAATGAGACTGGAAGTCTCAAGCCAAAAAGATTCAAATGGCAGCACCCGCTCGACGGCGGAGGATAAGGTGAATAAAGTGAATTTAAAGTAAATGTCAGTAAATCAGTTGCGTTGAGGAAGAAGTTTATCAAAAATTGATCTGAAAAATCCTATCTAATATTTTTAATGTACATTTATTTATGTCTTTGGTATCATCTCTTATTTTAAATATGAAGCTATTGATCGAAGGTAATATTATGTATTATGTAGGGATGTGCGATATGGACTTAGTATATATATCAGGGTATTTTCTGGTATTTATTGTGATAACGATATTAGTGGTGATATAATTCAAAAGTATCAAGAGGGAGGCAAAAAGTCCTTTATCTTTAGAAAAAAAATAGTAATAATCTCATCATAACTAATTAAACCAGAAATGAACACGACTATACTAATATTAAACAGCTAAAAATAAATATAAAAATAGCATTTAAAAGACATTTCAACTTTGCAATTGACATTTTAATTCTTTATTTTTTATGTTTATTTTATTTATTGTTTAATAATTTACACCTGCCGGCCACTTTATTAGGTACACCTGTCCAACTGCTCTTTAATGCAAATTTCTAATCAGCCAATCACATGGCAGCAACTCAATGCATTTAGGCATGTAGACATGGTCAAGACGATCTGCTGCAGTTCAAAGCGAGCATCGGAATGGGAAAGAAAGGGGATTTCAGTGACTTTGAACGTGGCGTGGAACGTGGCGTGGCTGGTCTGAGTATTTCAGAAACTGCTGAACTACTGGGATTTTCACGCACAACCATTTCTAGGGTTTACAAAGAATGGTCTGAAAAAGAGGAAATATCCAGTTCTGTGGGCGCAAATGCCTTGTTGATGCAAGAGGTCAGAGGAGAATGGCCAGACTGGTTCCAGCTGATAGAAAGGCAACAGTGACTCAAATAAGCACTCGCTACAACCGAGCTCTGCAGAAGAGCATCTCTGAACACACAACACGTCCAACCTTGAGGCAGATGGGCTACAGCAGCAGAAGAGCACACCGGGTGCCGCTTCTGTCACCTAAGAACAGGAAACTGAGGCTACAATTCACACAGACTCACCAAAACTTTACAATAGAAGACTGGAGAAACGAGTCTCCATTTCTGCTGACACATTTGGATGATCGGGTCAGAATTAACATTAAATAGCATCAACAACATGAAAGCATGGATCCATCCTGCCTTGTATCAACAGTTCAATCTGGTGGTGGTGGTGTAATGGTGTGGAGGAGATTTTCTTGGCACACTTTGGCTCCATTAATACCAATTAAGCATCAGGTCAACACCACAGCCTACCTGAGTATTGCTGCTGACCATGTCCATCCCTTTATGACCACAGTGTCTTCATCTTCTGATGGCTACTTACAGCATGATAACACGTCGTGTCATAAAGTGTGAATCATCTCAGACTGGTTTCTTGAACATGACAATGAGTTCACTGTACTCAAATGGCCTCCACAGTCACCAGAGCTCAATCCAATAGAGCACCTTTGGGATGTGGTGGAACGGGAGATTGACATCATGGATGTGCAGCCGACAAATCTGCAGCAACTGTGTGATGCTATCATGTCAATATGGAGCAAAATCTCTGAGGAATATTTCCAGTAGCTTGTTGAATCTCTGCCATGAAGGATTAAGGCAGTTCTGAAGGCAAAAGGGGGTCCAACCCGGTACTAGTAAGGTGTACCTAATAAAGTTTGTATATTTTTATTTTTATGTTACTGTGCAAAAGTTTTAGTTGGAAATGATTTCTGAATTGACGGAATTGTTATTTCTTAAATACACAGACCATTATGCCAGTTCTTCTGGAAACCAATCATTTGTGAGGGTTTTGTTTTTCTTTCAGTAATTTAATGATTGCAAACATGCTGTTAATCCAGTGGAAATGTATATCTGTAGGTAAAAATAAATGAAGTTAATAAACACAAACGTGAAATGGCCTGCACAGGGTCCAAACCTAAATAGTTTGTGATCACCTGTAGAGATAAAAAATGATGACGGGACATTTCATTCACTGAAGTGTCTTAATGTTGTTTTTTGTTTACTGTTGTTTGTTCACTTGTTTGTGTCTTCCACAGAAGCAGCACAACCTGCAGGTTTTGGGTTTAGTCAAATCAGACGAAGGTTTTTACCAGTGTTTAGCAGAGAACGACGCTGGCAACGTCCAGGCCAGCGCTCAGCTCATCATCCTGGATATAGGTAACTCGACACACGTCTAATTCTGCATGCATTCATGTTCATTAACCTCAAATGCTTAAATCTCAAATCAGTACACTTGATTTAAGGCACAGTATCTCGTTTTCGCCACTAGAGGGCGAGCATTCACAACAAACAAAAGCATAGTTTGATGATGATCTGGCTGAGTGAGGAATCAGTTGTAGTCTTCATTATCCTACAGCAGGGGTGTCCAAACTCGGTCCTGGAGGGCCGGTGTCCTGCATAGTTTAGCGCCAACTTCCTCCAACACACCTGCAAATGTGCATCTCTGCATTAGCACCTCTCCACAGAGCTCTTCGTTATGTGTGTGTGTGTGTGCCGTTTAATAATCCTGCAGATGCGTTTGCAAACACAGACCACCGACAGCTCTTACTCTACTGTAGTTTACGCACCCTGTTAATTAGCCATCAGATTCCAGCACAGAGGAAGTTGCGCGCTTATGCTGTGATCGTGATTTAAGGCACAGTATCTCGTTTTCGCCACTAGAGGGTGAGCATTCACAACAAACAAAAGCATAGTTTGATGATGATCTGGCTAAATGAGGAATCAGTTGTAGTCTTCATTATCCTACAGCAGGGGTGTCCAAACTCACAACACACCTGCCTGAATGTTTTTTTTATACCTAGTAAGAGCTTGATTAGCTGCTTCAGGTGTGTTTAATTGGAGTTGAAACTTAAATATGCAGGACACCGGCCCTCCAGGACTGAGTTTGGACAGGACTCATGTTGAAGGATGAGTTAAGGTATTCAACACTTATTATCATGGTAGTATGAAGCAGAGTAAGCTGAAGAGAAATGAGAGAAATGCTGAAGCAGTTACTTATTCTGGGTCATTTGCTGGATTTGTTTTATTGCTTAATTTTTTTTAAAATAATTTCTGATGCTAGAGATATGTTAACTAAACAAATCCAGCTCAGGTTTTTCTTTGCTTTACATCAGTTGTTTTACATCTGATGGTTTCTGGGGATGAGTCCAAACACTCTTGTGCGTTTAGTAGTAGTATTACGCTTGTTTGGTGTGTGTGAGCGTGGTGTGGGTGGTTGTGTTACTACAGTCTGAGATGTTTTTACAGCATAGTTTTGTGCTTCTCAGCAGCGCTCGCGTTCAGAATGAGGCCTTGAACACATGTTGTCACACGTCGAGGCGTAAATGACGCTGCATGATTAACTAAGCGCGCGATTGTGTGTGTGCGCTCTTCATTTTCACGTGCATCTCTGCATTAGCACCTCTCCACAGAGCTCTTCGTTATGTGTGTGTGTGTGTGTGCCGTTTAATAATCCTGGAGATGCGTTTGCAAACACAGACCACCGACAGCTCTGACTCTACTGTAGTTTACGCACCCTGTTAATTAGCCATCAGATTCCAGCACAGAGGAAGTTGCGCGCTTATGCTGTGATCGTGATTTTGCTCTATATAAAGGTTTTTCTCACAATCCTTTTACAACAAAGCAAAGGTGAAGAATGTGTGTTGCTGTTTGTTGCCCCAGACAATGATGGGATAATCATCCCAACATATAATTACCAAATATAATTTGGGTGACAGCTAAAGTTTTTTTGGTAATTGGTGAAAGTTGAGCAAACTATAATTATAATAAACACCAATGGCAAGTTGGGTTTTATAAAACTTTCGATATTTTTTTTAACTATACTATTTAAAGAGCAATTATATATATATATATATATATATATAAAATATATATAAATAAATATATATAAATAAAAATATATATATAAATATAAATATATATATATATGTTACAACAATATAATTATTTATGCTATTTAACACCTATGCTTTAATTATTTAATCCTGAATTTATCGATCAATGTAATTGTTTAAAAAGTGGATTTAATAATAAAATGCTGATAATAAAAAATGTATGTATTCATTTTTATTATTTTAATAATTCTATTTAATTCTGAAATCTAATATTTGTAATTGTGTCATTGATAGGATTTTGCATTATGTTATGTCACTATTTAAAATACCTGTCATAATATTTCAATAAATTGTAGAATTGCCCTACCAATGAGACAAAAATATGATAAAACATGCTTTTGTTTTTAATGATATTTTATTTGTTATTTGTTGAAGGTGATATTCACAACTATGTAGCCATATAATTTGTGATAATTCATGTGTTTAAAATTACCCATTAACTTAAAATTTCAATAATTAAAGAATTGAGTTTTGTTGACTAAAAGTTTCATTGTAAGTTTTATTATTATTATTATTATTAATTCTGTAAATAGAAACTTTGTAACGGTGTGTGTGTGTGTGTGTGTGTGTGTGTGTGTGTGCGCGTGCGTGCGTGCGTTTATACAGTTGATGTCAGAATTATTCGCCCCCTTTGATTTTTTTTTTTCTTTTTTAAATATTTCCAAAATTATGTTCAACAGAGCAAGGAAATGTTTACAGTATACTGATAATATTTTTTTCTTCTGGAGAAAGTCTTATTTGTTTTATTTCACCTAGAATAAAAGCAGTTTTTATTTTTTTAAACACCATTTTAAGGTCAATATTATTAGCCCCTTTAAGCTATATATTGTTTTTGATAATCTACAGAACAAACCACTGTTATACAATAATTTGCCTAATTACCCTAACCTAGTTAACCTAATTAACCTAGTTAAGCCTTTAAATGTCACTTTAAGCTGTCTTGAGGAATATCTAGTCAAATATTATTTACTGTCATCATGACAAAGATAAAATAAATCAGTTATTAGAGATGAGTTAGTAAAACTGTTATGAGTAGAAATGTGCTGAAACAATCTTCTCTTCGTTAAACAGATATTGGGGAAAAAATAAACAGGGGGCGATTAATTCAGGGGGGCTAATAATTCTGACTTCAACTGTACATTGAACATAAAAAATATATATAATTTGGTGTGCACTATATTATTTAAAAATTAAATTCTACATAATATGGCGGCATTGTTGCAAACTGCTGTTACATCTAAAACATTTTACTAATCCCTTAAGCCTCCTTTCCACAGCACACGACAAGCGACAAGCGACAGACCGGAAGTCATTCATTTCCAATGCAGAGCAGTCCGGGAGCTGCGTTGAGTTCCGATCATCTCCGTATGCGTAAAATTCGGATTCGAATTGAGCTGCGGATCCATTGAAATATTTAAACTCCTGCGACTTGACCGTATGCGACCTGCCGACCGGATATGATGTATTCCAGTGTTGCCCAAACAGATCCGTGCGCGCGAGATGAGAAATAGTTTATTTGGTTATTTTTTGAATTATTAAAAGTCTATATTAAAAAAAAAAATCTGTTCTTAAATGTTAGTAAGAAAGTAATAAAAATATATATTTTAATGTTGTCTCCACATTCCCTCCAATATTTTAGCGCTCTATGAGTTTCTAGTATTGATTCATCCATTAAACTATGTAAACGCACTGAGAATAAAGGCTCTTGCTTTTGCCCTCCTTTATTTCTGACACCGTAGCTTCTCCCCCGTGGTGCACGACAACACTGAAAATACTGTGCGGCTGCCACAAGGGGGCGTATTCTGACAGCCGTATCCACACATTGTGTTTAGTGGAAAGGCGGCTTTAGTCCCGTGGTGGCGTCACATGCAGTGTTAGTGGTCATTTTGAACTGTCACTCACTGTGTATTATATGATGATATGTTATATATTAAATATCTATACATTTTTCAGTGTTTGAGTGAATGAGTTTATTATTATTTTATATGGAATATTACTAATAGTTATGAAGAAATATGTTTAACTGTGTGTTATCTATAAATTATGTAAAGGTATTAATAAAGTCTTTATTAAAAGTATAAGTTTTATGTTGTAATACACTTAAATTAAAAGTGATTTTAGTGGCAAATAAAAAGAATATTATGGACAGCTGTCACACACACACGCGCACACACACACAGAGAGAGAGTGTTAGATGGAGTGTGAATGCTGTAAAAACACTGTTCCCCTCTCCTCATGTGTGATTCCTCCATTACGGGGCGGCTGCAGCTGTAATCATGGATTACATTCTCTTACACATGTTAATGTCATGCATTAAAACCAAAAGCCTCTCACTGTCGCAAGATATTCATGCATAAAGTGTGATTATGGCTGAATAAAACTCGTTGATTTTACAGTCCTGTGCACACGCAGACCTATGGACTTCTAGTTATTATTTAAACTCTGTAATTACTAGCCACTATCCATCACCCGACCCGTCATAATAACTTTCACCCATGTTGCTGCTTTTATATACTGTTAATCCTAAAATACTTAATTAAGGTTATTTATTTATGTAGTTATTTATTCATTTATTTATTTTACCTTGTTTCCTTAATGATACTAATCAATCCATGGAAGCATATTTGCATTATTTACATTTAATGTCTCTCTTTTTGGTGTGATCAGCCTGCAGTATTACGTGTCTCTAAACGCACCTTTCACACACACTTTTGTTTTTGCTTCATTATTTTGATAAGTTATTTTAATAATCATTCATTTATTTTAATAATCATTCATTTATTTTAATAATCATTCATTTATTTTAATAATCATTCATTTATTTTAATAATCATTCATTCATTTATTTATATGCCGAATGTTGATAATAATATTAAGGGTTTGACTTATTCCTCGACAGCCCCTCACAAGCTACACTATTTAATTTTTTACTTTTTTTATTTTGTAATTATTCTAACTTTTGTTAATATTTAACAAGTTGTTGCTGTTGTAATTTATTTGAAATTAATTAATTTGATTGCATCTATTTTGTCAATGGAATTGTTTTATAATATTTTTACATTTAATTATTAAAGCACTATTCATCTTTATCCTGTCAAAAGTTTTTTGTTACTTTTAATATATTTTTTTATTATTATTATTTTGTTATAATGCCATGCTAGATGTTGAAAAAATATGTATTATTTAAATGTGTAATCAATAGAAAAAGCCATCTTATTAAATATAAATTTGTATTTGCTACATTGGTAGCAATTATAATATTTA